TAAAACACCCCATATGTGAATTCTTTATTTGGATTACTTCCATTTCCACCATAAAAGCAGGCATGACTTTTATGTTACCAAAAGGCCCTTTAAATAAAGTTACTGCAGAAGGAAAAAGAGAGCAAATACAGGAAGTTGGCAATGGAGATCAGATTGGTGCAAAAATAAACCATAGACTCAGCTAACCTTTTGAAAATTTTAGAACTAGAACAAAGAATATTTGCCACCTACTCTCAACTTTTCTCGGATAAAATCAATCTGCACACTTTTTTTCCTTTTTCTTTTGGCTTTCTTCCCCCTTCTAATCCTTTTTTTTTTCACTACTATATTGACTTTTTTAAAAAATAGATCAAAAAAAGGAGTACCTGCATTGGGTCGCTAAGATAAACATCCCCATCGTCGTCATTTGAATATTCAATGTAGCGTCCAAAAGCTTTTGGTTGCAACGAGAATCCTCTCCCTCCCTTGTGATCCTGGTTCTTTTTCGTGTATCGTTGCCGTCCACCTTATGGATCGAGCTATGCGGCTTACTCTTTCGATAATTTCGGGATGGTCTCGGATCACTACTGTTCCTTCAGGACGTAAGATTCGGTCCATTTCCACCATTAGATCAACGAGGTTACACCTACAGGGAGCCAAGTGAGTCATTTTCCTTGGTTAGATTATAGCTTTGTCTAACATTTGATATAAAGATAAGTCATTAAATACCATTGCATAAATAAATCAAGTTAGCATTTGATTGTAAATTTTATGTAGCTCTTTGATCTTTGAACAATATGTACAAATACTTCAAGTAAAAGCTTACAATTTCAATTGACGTTAAAATGAAGAGATTTATAGGGGGAAATGATTATTTAAGGGATAATTACTCTTATTTATTGAATATGTATATATGTTTAAAGAGGAAATTCGAATCCTATTTATTAGGTTTTAAATTTGAAGTTGATCTAATTACCAGCATTTTATTTTGAATCATTAAACCCTTTCACTTAAAATTAACCTCCAAATATCTTGATAACATTCTTCATAGAACGCTTAGCTTTTATTTTAGGATTATTCTCAGTTTTTGTGTCAATGTCATTTGTTTATCAAAGCATTAGACAGATGAACCAACTTCGTGGTAAAAAACAAGGGAAAAGTTGGGGTAGCAGAATGTGAAATAAATGAGAAGATGCTGACAAAGAATAAACTAATGGGTGAAAATAACAATACGTACCTGCTTTTGTCGGAACCTGGATATTTAATGAGTGATTCAATTGCAAATACGTGGATAAAATCATACGAACGAGGGTATGTTGAGAAAGGCTCACACCTGAAAACCATCAAATATTAGTGCATCCACTATAAACAATGCATCTGAAACTTCCTCAACAAGAAGAAAATAAAAATATTTTCGAAATGGGTTTGTCAAAAAAATTTAAAAAACAAAAAATTGAATGACACTTGGTGTATAGGGAGAATATTTTATCTGACCCCAAGGAAGATCACTAATCCGTTTCACATGTTTGCTCATTTATTTGACATATAAAAAATGTGATGGGTCTAAACTTTTTGATATTCATGCCTTAATCTAGGAAGTTAGAACATCACAGAAGGTGTGGATGACCAAGCTCTCAGTAAAATCACGAGAATAAAAATGAGAAATGACAAGTAAATCTTCGACACATTAAGGGTGTGTTTGGGAGTGATGGTAGAATGAGTGGTTTTGAAAAAAAGAGATTTAAGTATAATTGATTTTCCAAAATCATCATACAAATGCCTTAAAAATCAATAAATCAATTTAAAGTGATTTTAAGATTTCCTAAAATAGATTTTCTAATTTACCAAACATTATCAATGGAAAGGGAAGTGATTTTGACAGTGGCAGGCCAAAATCACTTCCAAACACACCCTAAAAATTATTTAATTCTACAAACTGAGAGTTTTGCTGCCTTGACTTGGACAAGTAGCAAGTGTGCGTCCCAATTTTTTGTGAACACACTGCGATCTCCAACACTCTAGCTAAAATCACTCCCCACTAGCAAACTGGTCAGTAAAGTCCAACGGCATTTTGTTTCACACTAGTGAAAATGGACAAGGAAAATTAACAGCAACAGAAGAGGACGAAAGTAGGACCACATTGAAGGATTAGAGCAAGCAATTTGAAACTCACCAGTCATGGTAGACTCCAATTAAGCCTCTGTCATATATTGCAGCCAAAGTGGATGGCTTGTGAGAAGGAACAACATTCATCACCCAAACTGGGTCAGATCTTATTGCTGCAGCAAAGCCACCAAAAAAGGCATTCATATCCATCACATTTCGTACTGCTGGAGTTCCCAGCTTCAGTTTTAAAGATTTTTTGTAGAAAGCAACCCTCCTTTCCCACCGCCTCGAGTCAGCATTGAATACATCAAAACCATTTTTCACAACTCCAGCTCTTGGATGAGCTTTTGCTAGCCTATCCGGCCATTTTGGAATTGTTCCAACAGAGACTTCTTCCTTGGCAGAAGGCATCCTACTCACACATCTATTTAATCTCACATACCTGCAAAAATACAAACTCATATCAAAGAACCACTCGTCAATGGAATGTGAATTTTCCATACACCAAAAAGTCAAGTTCAAGCAGACATTCCAACAGTAGTAGTTACCATGCACGATTTGGATCATCAGATTCACTGCACGATTCAAGACCAAATTCATTTTGGTTTGGAAGACATGAATCTCCAGCAGGCTTTTTCCAGATGACGGTATTTCCATCCACAGCAATTAACTCGTAACATAGTGCTCTTGCAACACCCTGAAGATCTGCCCATTCTTTGTCTTGTTTAGGCCACTGTACAGGGGGGCCAGATATGACCAAAAAACCCCCTGGGCGAAGTAACCGATCAACTTCAATGAAATATGTAGCATCTGCAAAACCAGATTATTTTATGATTAAAAAAATAAAAGAAATTCACATGTTGTAATGTAGTTGGTAAGAAAGAGTGGAGAAAAATGTGCACTTCACTCCATGTTGATAAGCAAAACGTGATAATGTAAACACAACCGAAATAAAGGGTAATCCTAACCAACAAACATTCTAGGCATCTCAAAATCTTCATTATCTAAACCAATTATGAGCTGAAAACAAATGGATCTTAATACTGATTATTCTTAGAATGTAAAATTTTGTTCCTCCCTAATAAAATTTCTAGCTCCACCCATGATATCATATAATAGCTGCATAAAAGGTTTTTTTCAGAAAAACAAAACCCAATGATATAGTGAAAAGTATAGAAAGAAGATATCAACACAATTAGGAGCTCAAAAAACAACACTCCAACTAGAGTTCATTACGGCAGAAAAGGATACTAAAACTCACTGTAAGCAGTAAAGGGAATTAAACAACGCGAACAGTGCACCAAATCAAATGAGAATGCAGGAAAAGGAAGTTTCCGAGTTCCAAGCATAGCAACAAATGCTGGAACCCCTCTTTCCAGTGCAAATTGTATCTGTGATTTATGAGAATCTCTTGGAGCAAATGACACAGTCAGAATATCCTCAGCAAGCAAATACCCCCCAAAGCTAGCAACCTGCAAAGAGCATCAAATTTGTGATCTTTTCATTAAAACAATAAGCAAAATTTCAACATGGGGCAGCAAGGAAAAAAGGATTGCACTGACCCCACAGCCCATATCAAGTGCAGTCCTCAGAGTGCCACCCTTTATAGGAATGTATTGTCCAAGTTTCTCAATATATTGCACTGCACCATCTGGAAACATGGTACCGCCACCAGGAAAAATGAAATATGGACCTTCCTGTTTCATCCATCCTTGATGTCCTTTCCTGTCCGCAATCTTGTTGTGAGGCATGTTATCGTGCCATATCTGCACAGTGCACGTGTAAATAAATGGTACTTAAAAGATTGATCATTGGTGCTGATCAGTGAACTTGATACTAACCTCTGTGCCATCTCATAGCAAACAAGTTATTTTCATCTTTTTCATTCTTTTTGTTTTTGGGGGTGCAGGGCAGCTATAATTCAGCCAAGGAAGAAAAACATGCATGGCATTACAGTCAAACAGAAAAAGAAATAAGCTACGGATAAGTGGTAACAACAGTTATTTTCTCCTAAAGGACAAGTATCAACAAAACCCCCTGAAACCAGACAGAATCTAAAATTCCATTCTGAATACTAAATCACGTTCAATAACCTACTGCCGACTCCTTAGTCCAGGCACTATCAGATGGATTTCAATCTTCTTCCTCACCCCAGTCCCTGTATCCATCTTCTGCGCAAGAAAATGATCTGTACTTCGAAATAAGCAATGTGTGGTTAACCAATCGATCGGGTAGGAAACTACCGGTAACTTTTCTGTAATTGTATGAGCTCCTAAAGAGAATATACATCATCCTTATGTCATAACTTCTGCTCGTTCAAATTCACTAATTCACAAATCTTCACCCGGTTTCCTCCACTATCTACTACTCCACAGTGTTCATATGCAGTTGAGTAATTCCTTTCTGGCCTAATTAAGTCGTTCACAAACTGCGAGGTGACAGATATTGCACAAAAATATACTAATTATGTCTTGGAAATATCGGCTGTCGATCTCCACTTTGGCAAGAGCCAACAAAATTCTACCGAAACATACTTGGAAAGAGACGCCGTACCTCCAATCTTAGAAAAAGGAAGCTCATTCCATGAACTAACTAGCATGAATCATAAATCTACAGATCTCAAAATATTTGGAGCAGACTAACGATTAGAAAAACCTCCATACCTTGTGCAAGCTCTCCGGCCATTGGACAGGTATCTTGTAGCCATCGGGCGGCGGAATTAAGCAGAGCGGCGCCTCATCAGGGGGCGGGCAATGTCGCTCCCTATAGAAATTCATCTCCCTGCTCAATTGGCTATTTCTCCTCGGATCCTCGCAAGGCATGTGATCCACAGCATCAGCAGGGCACGCTTCGATAGCCTGCTTCTGCCCAGCCTCAACCAGCTCCGTAATCCGTAGGCGCTGCCGCGGATCAGCGTTAGACAGCAGCAAAGTTTGGCGGCCAGAAGCAGCAAGCGAATCACCGAGGCGGGTGAAAACGAGAAGAAAGAACAGTAACACCAATCCAAAAAACACCGCGGAAACAATATCCAGGAGTCGCCATTGCCGCGCATTTCTCTTGGAAGCCGGCAAGTTAACGTGACCCATCGTTGCAGGAATCCGGATCTGATATCAATCAAACATTTAACGAAGGTTGTAGCTCACGGTATCATCGGTATCGCAGATCTTAACACCTACCGATACTGGAAACGGAAAGTTGTGGCCTCAAATTGAAGCAGGAATTCACAAGAACAAAGTTGAGAAGGAGTCAGCGAAGAGATTGAATCAGATAGAAAGTAGTTGCAGTTGCAGAGCGGGAATCCACAATCCACAGTCGAATCTCACTCCCTCGGAGCTTCGATGATTCAGAGACAGAAGTCTCTCTCACTCTCACCTCAATATATTTATTGAAGTGGCGGTGAGTGATCTTCCGACCATATGTTAATAATAATATTATGTAGGAAAAAATAAAGAATGTTGCAAAATCTTCAATGGGGAAAGCACAATATAGTTTTAATCAAGGATTAAATTAATTTCAGAGAAAATTTATTTTTTATTTTATATATATATTTTTAGAGAACGTTGGAAGAAATTTTGGTTGGTGGGTAAACTTAGTTTCTACCACGACGAGACTCTCGTGTCAAGATGCTTGGGCATTTGTTAGATGGCCAAAGATTGAATAATATGTTGGAATGGAGTTTCGACAATTTCGATTCAACTTTCAATTGACACTTCGTATACGTTGGTAGAAACAAGCATTGGATCCAGCCTAAACGATTGTGGCAAGGATAACAATGAAAGTACTAGTCTCCGTAATTTGCTGACTCAAGCGGGTAGTCCTTATGAGTCAAGCTTTGGCTCCCGAGCAGGAACATGATCCGTTCAAAGAGTAGGCTCATTCGTTCAAAGAATAGACAAATAGGAGCCGAAAACTATACACTTTATTGAATTACATGAAACAAAATAATGAATTACATGAAAGAAAATAATGAAGTAACAATGCTCGTTGCCCCTTTCTAATGTCTAGATTTTAGAATCTTCGATGGGGCAAAAAGAAAGCCTTGAAATTAAATGCTACGATTAATTAACATTTCTTCAAGCAATAATTAAACTATTCCTTCGTTAAATTTTGGTTTTCGGTTAAACATCAAGAGAAAAATCAACATTTCCATAGAATTGAAAAAAAATAATATAGATATAATATTAATATTAACAATTTTAAAATTATTCAAAAGGGCGAAATGATTTTTTTTATTACTTCTCCAGAAAAATCCATCAACGTTGACAAACTTTGATCACAGCACAATAACTTCATACGGCTGCCATTAATATTCATCATATTATCATAAAACCATCTAATAAGGGGAAAGAAATCAATTGATCATCTGGCAGAATATGAAGATCAGTGAAGGGACCAGAAAATAAAGCCACTCCTTCCAAAAATAGCTCATCTTCTCCCCCTTTTCAGTTTCTACAAGGGTCCTTTCAAGGGGCAATAAAGAGATACAACGCTCGTAGATTTGAATCTCCACCCGTGACACAATATTCTAAAAGGAAAAGGAACAATAAAGAGGTATCAATACTTTGCATATTCAACTCACAGACAAATTTGCAACATGGTTCCCCGGAATCTGTAAGGAAAAAAACTGGAAGAATCAATAACTGCAACTGAGAAAAATCAGTATTTACCAAAAAACAGCAGCCAGCAAGCAGTATGGCTAATTGTGGCATTAATTCTATCTCCTTGCTTTTAACGAACCACCTAACATGGTAACTTCCAATTATAATTTCAAGTCTGACTCTATGCAACCCCTCCCTCGTCGAAAACCGTTATCATGGCTAACAATGGAAGCCAATCAAGAAGAAAAACATGGCTGTACAAGCCAAGAATCAAAAAGATCAAATTTTCCTAGATCCTCCTCGTTGGTTATAGTCGTGCTTGATAAGGTTTGCTCTCAGTAGCATCGATCTAACTTCGCGATCAAACTCGCTCCCCGTCTGTAGAACTCTTTGGAAGGTCGCATTCCTCTGATCCGCATGTCGAGCATAAAGAATTTTATTGTGCGAGTCAATTCTTGCCTGCATTTATGAATAGAGCAGTTGATAAACAAGCACTTGATTTGAAACAGTGGAGAAAGATTTTAACTAAAAATTATATTAGTATCAGTTTCAATATTTCCGTATACCTTGACAAGAGAAACTCAGTTTTTATTGGTACAAACTAGGACCAATATCTGATCCTCGTGTACAACAAAAGAATAATAGTTAAAAACCAAATAAAGTCCAGTCCAGTCCAGTCCAGTCCAGTCCAGTCTACACAAAGAACAACCTCTAGAGGCCTATATAAAAAATTTCCCTTCAGAATCTAAAACTCTTCAATGTGACGCTGTGGTGGACACTGGACAGAAGACCAAAGAAAAGAGGTTGAAAAGGCATAAGTGTTGATTTTCAATAAGCGGCAATAGTTTTTTGAAGAGCGAAATGCACTGAAATAACACCATTAATGGCTGAGTGAGAAGTTCAGAAAAGAAAAAATATAAAAATAAAATTTTCATTCTTTTACCCCCTTGTACTTCAATATAGTGAGTTCAAATGTTAACCTTGAAGTCTAACTTCTTACAAAATTGAACCTTCAACTTGAATAATGAGTAAATTTAATAACTCTCGTTAGTTGAGATGTTTACTTGTACTGGTGATTTGTGGCTTAAGTGTGCACGTTCAGAACTGGACCTACTATTCTTGCGGTGCTAATTTGTTAAGCTAGGTTTGGGCTTTTTCAACCATTTGATTGTGTCTAAATAAGTTTCAGCACTTAAGACTCTAAGATTAATATGTTTTTAATTGAATTATCCTCTTTATCATGTCTAAAGAAAATTTGTCACATATCCGAAGAAAGCATGTCTCATATATAATTATGTAAATTTTAATTAATGTTAACATTATT